CCTGGGTGGCAGGCCCCATGGGCGAGGGTTTAGGCAGAGCTCCCGTCCTGCTGGAGGATTCTGGAGACTAGCTGTGCCTCTTCATGGTAACAGCCATGGGTTCCCTGTCCGTCCCCTGGTTTGGTCCTCCTGTGTCCTCGCTGGGGGAAGGACGAAGGGAAATCTGCCACTGTTGTTGCTGCATTTCCCAAGGGCTCCCATCAGCAATCGTTCGGGAACTGCCCACATCGCCCTCAAGCTGTGTCTGTGCCTTCAGCTGGCAGTCCCTGGACCCACCTTCCTCAGGCCCCGGGGGCTGCTCCAGCCAGCTGTGTTGGCAGCGGGGGTCTCTCATGCCCCCTCTCCTAATGATGTGTGTGCTCCGAGCCTCCCTCTTCTCCTTTGCCAGCCCCTCCCTTCCGTGCAGGCCCCTGTGCTCCCCTCCCCCATGCCACTGCTGCTCAAGGCCACGGTCGGGGGCACTGTGGTCCTATTAACTACCCAGTCGGCCTTTCCCCAGTGATGTTAATAAAGTTCACCCTTCACTGTCCAGTGTGGTAGCCGTTGGCCATGTGTGGCGACTGAGCATTTGAAATGCAGCTAGTGCAGCTGAGGAACTAAATTTTTAATTTTACTTTGTTTCAATTATTTAAATGTAAACAGCACGTGTAGCTAGTGGCTGCTACACTGGACAGAGTCAAGCCTGTCCCATCCCTCTTCCCTCAGGTCTTCCCACTCTCCCCTTGGGTCCAATTTGGACCACTTTTGCCTAGACCTGTCCTGTAACCTGTCGCTGTGGAGAGTAGCTTCAGCGGGGGCTGATCTGTCCAGTCTGTGTGTCCTCCACTCCCTGACTCGCCCCTTGTGCCACCCACCCCCTCTGCTGGCCTCTGCCTGGCCCCTGGAGTTGTCCGTGTGGCTCCTTTCCCAGCCTCGCTACTGCCTTCAGGGCTCTTGGCACCGAGTGCCCCTCACATTTCCGGCTTGTCTCCACACCTCTGCCCCTCCCCTCGGGGGACCTGGAGGACCTGGACCGGGGGACCCAGAGGGCAGGCAGGGCCCTGGATTCCCACCCGCACCTTTTTCTTAATCCACAACTCTACCTTCCTGTCCTGAGTCCCCAGGCTTTCGTCTCTTCCAGTTACCACACCTCTTTCCACCCTCACCCCATTCAGAAGCCGGGCTCACTGGGAAATTGCTCCCTCAGCATCTGTAGAACTTCCTCAAGAAGTGAAATCCCCAGGTCCACTTTGAAGGAGAAGAAGGGATCATTAAGGTCCGAAGCAGGCGTCTTCTGGAAGGGGGGCGTGTCCGCGAGGTCCTCCTCCGAGTACTCGTGGAGGGCGTCTGCCAGGGAGAGCGCCGAGGGCAGGGTAGCCGAGTAGGCAGCAGTGTAGGCAGGTGACGGCTCCAGGATGTTGGGGCAGCTGGAGCTCTCTCGGTAGAGGCGAGGGGGCTTGGGTGGGGCCAGAAGGGTGGTCCGGGGCTGCTCGTCCCCCCACAGTGGCAGGCGCCGGCCATCCGGCCTCCCTCGAAGCTCCCGGACGACCTCCCTGTTGCTGTACTCCTCATGGTCCCCCCCAGCCATGCTGGCCTGGCTCAGCACACTGCCCTGTCGCCGGAGTCCTCGAGGCCGCCTCAGGCTCAGCCGCTTGAGGAAGGAGGCGTTGCGGAAGGAGCCTTTCCGCCAGGTCTCCATGGGACAGGGAGCCAGCACACCTAGAAGTCCAGTTCCGCAGCGGCGAGGGGCCGCTTGGTCTGCCGGGGCAGCGAACGACAAGAAACGAGAGACACAAGAAACGGGAGACGGCCCACGTGGGCTCCTCGCAGAGGCCTCCAGCTTTCTGCCCAGCACGGACCTCAGGCCAGCACCTGCGGGTGAGACGACGTCCCAGGAAGAGGCTAGCAGAGGCCGAGCGTTGCTGGCACGGAGGTTCCCAGAGGCACAGGAGTGCCCGGCTACTTGATAGGGCAGTGGAAAAACCCCAAGAGGAAGAAGCAGCACTTACTGGAGCGGAGTGAGAGGAGCACCAGGGGGTGAGGGATCAATCTTCTCAGGTGGCAGGAGCGGCCTCTGCCCCAGCTCCTCACGGCCCCAGCTCCTCCTCTGGCCGTGGCCCTGCCTCTGTCCCCCGTGGCTCCCCGAGTCTGATGTGTGCCCTGCTGGCTGTGGCGGTGTGCTGGTGTGGCAGGGTGGCGTGGAGGTGTGTTGTTGTTCTCAGCTGACTCAGTCAGGTGGGAAGCTGGGTTTCATGCTCAGGTAATTGCAGCATCCACATGCAGGAGCTGAGGCAGCCGTGGCCAACACCCCAGGGCCACTGGGGAGCCAAAGATTCCTCTGGGACGTGTCTGCGGGCAGCCCTGCCTTGTGTGTCAGCACACCGTCTCCTTTCCCCACCACCCTGGGCCGGAGCAGCAGGTGTAGCTCCCCGGCCCCCAGTGTGTCTGGGGGAGAGGCGCCCAGGGAGGTGCTGGTTAACTGAATGCAGGCGTGGGGAGTGATTGTGGAGGAAGAAGAGACCTGTTGCTAGTGTGGGTGACTCAGGCCCTCATTAGAGCCCACAGGTATGGGGGAAGGCGGCAGAGGGTGTGTTAGCAGGGAGCAGCCCCATGCCAAGAAAGGGCTGGCTGCTTCCAGGGCTGGGCTCGGGGCATGCCAGGGTGACTCGGGTTTTCTCAGCAGAGCAGTACTTCCTTGGGGAGGGGAGAATTGCCCTCCCTTTGGCCTGACACCCAGTGTAGCTGCTCTATTTCCTCATCCTTCATCGGTTTACCAGGCGGCCTCAGGGCAGGAGAGAGCAGCTGAGGGGCAGGACCTCTGCCTTCCACCCTGTGCTCCAGGCCTTCCGTGGGCTGCCTGGGCCTCACCTGAGGCCCCTCCTCTGTGGCGGGGGCTGGGTCACATGAGACTGCCCTGGATTGTCAGCAGAGCTCTGGCCAAGCTGAGCTAAGTGGGCCTGGCTGGGAGGGCAGCTCTGCTCAGAGCTTCTGCAGCCCAGGAGAGAGGCAGAGAGGTGTGGGGCTGGGGAGGAGCAGGGGGATCTGGGCTGAATAACACTTCCTTGTTCCGTACCCCCCTCCTCACACCCCCACTACAAACCTGTTGGCCAGGGTCTGGCATCTTAACCCCAGCCACTTCCTTCTTATTCCCTGGGTCACTGACCACCAAACTTGCCTCCTGACTTACTCCATGAGCGTGCAGCAGGTTGGCATACCACAGAACAGGGCGCCGCACCTTTGCCTGCTGCGTAGCCCCCTGGCCTTGCTTCTGTGCCAACTCAGGTGGGCCTCACACTTCATGCAGTTCAGCTGCCCCGAAGGAGGAAGTGATCTAATTCCCACTGCAGACCTTATCAGGGCGTGGGGCTGGCAGCTCTGCTCGTGGCACTGGAGCCGCCTCTCCACCCCACAGCCTTGGCCCATTGAGGTGGTTGTTTATTATCCTTTTGATTGTTAAAATATAGCCGTCTTTTCATCTCGCACTCTGCTGGCAAGATCCTACAGGAAAGAGCTGCAGGCCCTACCCTCCAGGAGCCCTGGTGTGTGTTTCTAGGAGGCAGGCCAGCTTCATGCTTGTTTCTCTCTTAGGCTGAGGTTGACTGAGGCTGTGTGTGGGGCAGGGCTTCCTTCTCCTGTGACCTCAGCAGGAGCCGGTCCACAGGCAGATGGACAGCTGGGAGGGCGCAGTGCCCCCGCCCCCACCTGGCAGAGCAGAGCGGGTTTCTAAACCTCTGACAACTCCCCTTCCCTGGAAACCTGTGAGGAGTGGAAGCTGGGGCAGAGGCTGAGAGGACACGAAGGGAAAGCTGAACCGGCGCTGGCTGGAGAGGGAGGGGAGGTTCTGGTTGGGATGGTTGAGGAGCTGGTCCGGAGGCCCACGGTCGGCTTGCTCCGAAGGAGCATGATGAACTGGGCTTGCAGGTCCTCCCCGGTCCTTCTCCTCCTGGGCACCGTTCTTCTCGACTCTTGACTAGCTCTGCCCAGGCCCTGCCCTCCTTCTCCCTCCTCTGTCCCCAGGGCTCAGTGGTGTCCGAGAGGGACTACGAAAGCCTCGTCATGATGCGCCTGCGCCAAGCAGCTGAGCGGCAGCAGCTGATCGCCCAGATGCAGCAGGAGGACAAGGTGGGGCAGCTGACGTAGCAT